GGCCAGATGGTGGCTGTGTTAGTGGGATTAATACAATTCTGATAGATTACACAGCATCAGGTGGGCTCCCAAATATGAGGGGTGCCTGCTCCGTGCCCCAAACACAGAACCCCACTTGTGACTGGGATTTCTCCCAGGCGTTACAGGAAAGGGTTGAAGTTCCTATCAGAGAAAAGGGCTTCTTCAGCATCCCTTGGGATGGCAGAAGCATACAGCATAGCTCAGGGAGGCCTCCGTGCCGACCAGTGGATGTCATTCCCATCCCGACATGCCGAGGCCACGTGGAAGCAGCCCACGGCAGAGTGCAGGAGGGCTTCTCCAGTGGAAGTGGAAAGGGACACAAACATTTGACAACTTTATTTCACGTTCTCCACCTGCCAAGTCAATGCTTTTGTTTGCTGGAAACACTTATAAACTACCTCCCCCTCACCCCTGCTTTAAAAAAATACTGAGAAATAACTTTAAAGTTGAATTTCCAATGCTATGGTATTTTTGGCATCTTCCTCAGTTTGTGTCTTAGATTAAATTTATGTTGGTGACACATCAGTCAACCTCATCTCACCGCTCATTTCCCAGGTTTGTGAAACTGTAATTATAGCTATTTGGTCATGAAAGAGCTCAACTACTACTGCTTTTGTTCTGGTAATAAGACTAGAAAAGAAACATAAAGCTTTATGTAGCAATAAAAAACCACACCACTATACCCAGCTTGAAATCACAGATAATTCCTAAATCCTTCTTCCAGAGGAACCTCCAAGTCCCATCATCAGTCACCAGCACGCATTATTTTTATGTAATGCCCTAAGTGAGATAAGTGATTTGCAGAGAAACACAGAGGCAGAGCACTATGCTAATACATTCTGCAACTGCTCCCCATTAGTCACTTGGGGTACTTGAGCTCTTTATTGCCAGGGTTTATTAATGACTCTTAATTGATGACCAGTGCCCAGCACCCCAAAGTAAATAACTGCTACACCTCATTAGCTCAAGAGACCTTCTCCTGATTTGAGGATTGATCTATGAACACACAAATTGCACTGATTTAGCCGAATCTCTTTCTAAATTGATTTAATTAGATTGGTATAACCTGTTTCTATGGATGCTCTTGAATTTATTTGGAATCAGTGCAATGTCCTTCTGTGAGCCAGACTGACCAGTTTTCTATCTTGTTCTCAAAGCAGAAACATTTGAGATAATTATTGATAAGGCAAAATCAGTCCTGGCACCATCCCAGTTCCTCCTACTTCTGATCCACCTGACTTTAGGGTAGGATATGGTAACTCCACTTTGTTCAACATTCACAGATTTGCACACTAAAACCCAAGCATTTCATTCCATGAAAGGAATGTAAGCATTATTTATGCATAATTTTAGACACTTGGTTTGAAAGCAATGGCATTGCTGCTTTGCTTGGTAATTTACTGCTGATGGTAAACTAGTAGTTTACACTATTTAAAACAAGACCTCTCATCTTCCTACTACATAGCAGCAGCTTGGAGGAGGTTAATCATTTGATAAACTGTTCAAAAGCTTCTGGCAAGAATAAAATGAGTGAACCTGCTTAGGTGAACCTTCAAAACTCTGCACTTGCATTCTTGTCTATCTCCTGGTGCAAGGCGAGGCTGTGGCGATGCTGGGCTCCAGATAAATTAGACAGCCTTTTCCTGCCTTTGCATCAGCGGAATCCTAAAGGGCGTATGGTAGGCTGTGTTTGGCAGAGTAATGCCTGCTGAGAAGTTGCTTTCAGCAGTCTGTCAGAACCCAGGGCTGATAAGGACTTGAGTTTTAGTTTTCAGTACACAAAACATGGGGGTTTTGGGCTTGTTTTTTGGTTTTAGGTTCGGGGTTTTTTGTTTTTTTGCTTATCCCAGGCTTCCTTAATATGAACCTGTAACTAGAAAATATTTATCCTATCAACAGCCCTGGAAAACAGAGACTAAAGTGGTTTGATTTATATTCCAATTTTTCCAAGCTGGTTGTAAAGCTTCAGTAAGGCCACCATAGACAACTGAGTCAATAAAATAGGAAACTTTGCAGACTTTCTCAGATCATAGGTTCTGAGGTAGCATACACACTGAACTTACAGCATAGGTCTTACCTGTAACTATCATTGTGTTTAAGTTTATGCTGTGTCAAGCTATTAAGTTTTCTTTCCTCTTAAACATTTTTGTTTTCTTCCTCTACAGAAAATGCCTTATTTTTTTAAGACTACATTCTATTTACAAATGCACAGAAGTATTACTGAATGCTAACCTTATGTTCTTGTAAGTAACCACTCACAGCCTCAGAAAAGTCATCCTTCTCAGGTGAGTGGTATTACTATCAAACCAATTCAATCCATGCTCTAGATAAACTTGGATGCCAAACTGAATGTCTAGAGCCATCCTTCTTTGGCTCATCTGCTTGCAGATTTGGTACCAGTGCAATTTTGCTGTTTAGGGCTATGCTTTTACTATTATAATTATTACCGTTAGAGATGTGCCTATAATTGCACACATTTATTCCCCATTCCAGTAAGAGAATGAACAGTAGACAAAAGCCATAATATATGGGCAACTGCACTGAGAAAGCTGAAGCTGTACAACTTGTGCGTGGGTGAGGTTATAATGACACTTGCTCACCTCCTATCTCACAACTGAAGACACCGGTACCTGTGAGCCAAACTGTGCTAATGGACCACATGAGTTTCCTTTGTGCCAGCAGAGTCAGGAGTCTTCATTTAACTCACTTTCAGCAGACTCACCCTATTCCAGCTGTGTCAGAGTCCACATCTGCCTACAGCCTTATTTTGTAAGGACAACAGCTATGCTATACTAAACTAAACATACAGCACATATGTTCCTCATGGTATGTTTGGGAAAAATGTATTCGGAGCTATACTTACCTTCAAGTCCTGCACAAGTCTTGTTCTCATGGAAATAAAGCCAAAAATACGACAAGAAGATTTAGACTGGTCAAGCCAACCAGACCAAACTCTGTTTTCCTGTATATTGTGCTGTATTTCATATCCAAGAAGGGGCACAGGCAGTACTTGGGATAGCCAAGACTCTGAAAGCACTGTAGGACTAAGCATAGCTCATACTTAGCGCCCAACATTGGGCAGCACTGATACGTTCTACTCCTAACAGAAGAGCTCGAGCAAGACAAACTACAAGGTCAAACTATGAGATCAAGGATGTTGGCCGAGGCCTACACTGGCAGAGCAGGGAAGAAGAAGGAGCTTGTGGCTAGCAGAAGTGCTATTTCTCAAACAATGTGTCAAACAAAGGTCACACCTGACCACCTCTGGTCAGGGTCCAAGGGCAAGTTAAATATGTGTTGGCTCTCCATACGAGGCAGAGAAGGCTTCTCCTGGCCAACTGTTCCATCTCGCTATGAAGTGGATTGCAACACCAAAGGAAATGCCCGCACTACTGCCAAGTACAAAACTGCCACCCTATTTGCTTACACAGAACCGCCATATCAATTTCTACCTGAGCTCCTTGCAAAGGCTTTGGAGCCACCTGCTCAAGATTTATTTTTCATTAGTTTGTGTCCTGGTTTTGCCTGGGATAGAGCTAATTTTCTTTCTAGGAGCTGGTATAGTGTTATGTCTTGGATTCAGTATGAGAAGAATGTTGATAACACACTGATGTTTTCAGTTGTTGCCAAATAGTGTTTATACTAAGTCAAGGATTTTTCAGCTTCTCATGCCCAGCCAGCAAGAAGGCTGGAGGGGCACAAGAAGTTGGGAGGGGACACAGCCAGGACAGCTGTCCCAAACTGGCCAAAGGGGTATTCCATACAATGTGACATCATGCCCAGTATATAAACTGGGGGGGAGTTGGCCTGTGGGGGGATTGCTGCTCAGGAAGCAACTAGGCATCGGTCAGCAAGTGGTAAGCAATTGCATTGTGCATCACTCGTTCTGTAAATTCCAATTATTTTATTACTATTATTGTCATTTTGTTACCGTTGTCATTATTAGTTTCTTCCTTTCTGTTCTATTAAACTGTTCATATTTCAACCCACGAGTTTTACTTTTTTTCCCCCAATTCTCTCCCCCATCCCACTGGTTGCGGGGGAAAGTGAGTGAATGGCTGCATGGTGCTTCGCTGCTGGCTGGGGTTAAAACACAACAGTTTGTGACAAGTCAAAGAAATGCTGTGTTAGAATTTTAACACTTCAGGAAAGTTCTCAGCAAGCTTGGGAGGCTGTGTGTAGAGAAACCAATGTTTATCTTCTAATTTCCCAGGACTAGAATGATGCAAGACATTCAATAAAACAAATGGGATCACATACACCTAACAGGTGACTGCAACATGACAGCAAACACTACTCAAAAATTTAGTCTTCCCTGACTGTTCATTTTAACTAAAAATACAATGCTGTATTCTGAAAGATCCTCCAGGCAATCATGTAGGTATTGGAGTTAATATTATACCCATGATTAGTAGTCTGGAACAGTAAAAAACCAACCAAACAAAAAAAACCAGCTGTCCTTATTCAGTAGCTAATGTCACTTACTACTTGCACCTTGACAGTTTTTAAATAGCAGCCATTCTAGTTCAGTAAAAGTGTTTCTGCTATGATAGCTGCAGAAGCTAGAAAAAATTAATTTGATATAAGGTACAAACTCTCCCTGAAGGCAAACATTGTCCAACATTAAAACCTTCACTGAACAATCCTTAATGAACTTATTGGTAAAGAAATAACTATTTGAAAAAGGTGGTGTCTGAATAGCTTTCTATTAAAAATATCCAATATTACCTTTTTTTAGCCATATAACTGAAAAATGGGAAGCCTTGCCCTTCCCCCACATATTGTGCTAGGGAAAGGTTACTACCTGGCAATGATACAGGCAGTTATTGATTTAAATCATTATGGACCTGAAAAGTTCTTTCCTGTCATTTATTATCCTGTTGTAGTTGCCACCACACTTGTGCAATATTAAAAAAAACCTTAACAAAACGACATTAGAAAAATACTGGTTTTAACTGAAGTCCAGCAGAGATAATCACCTGATTGTTTCTTCTTGATATAATGAGCTCACAACTGGGCCTCCAAATGCAGTTTTGCTTTCCTTTCCCCTCTTCTCTGTCGTCTGAAAGAAAAAGAAAGATTGGTCCAGCATCCTGGCTCCCATCCTGTTCCAGCCTGTGCCACCCCTCTGCCATCTCCCACCCCTTCCCTTGCCCCAGAGATGGGATCAGGCCCCTGGAAGCCTCGTCTTCATGGCAGACGGTACCCCATGACCCTACTCCATCCAGAACAGCTGGATGGATCTCTCCACAAACCGGATCAATGCTCCTCTGAAGGTGGCCCAGAAGGGTCACCCGAAAGGTAGGCTTGGCAGCCTCGCCATCCCACTCATCAGCCAAAGCATTGCCTCTGCTGCACTCCCAGCCATGGCCCCTTAGGGCCCAAAAGCTGAGCCTCTGTGAGGTAGCATAATGTTATGTTACTAGATTGCAAAACTTGCCTTTATAAATCTATTTAATATAGATTTAAAATTAAATTTTATAATGGGCAGCATTTCCAAATGATTTACTCCCAGGAACTCTAGGATTCTGAATGATTCCCACCATAATAGAAATGAACAATTAGAATAATGATTGATCGATACAGAGCCTCACGACTACCTTTTCAAAAAAACATCCTGCAGCTTGGGATCTTCAATTGCCTGACTTTACATTGATGCCAGACTTTCAGAAACGGCTAAGTGCCTGCTATCTGAAAGCCTGACCCTATTTTAGGGGATACAAGGCACCAGAAACCCTAACTTGTCTTGGGCATCTAGTGTCTGGGTCTTTGGGTAAGCAGTCAAACTGGTTTGCAATTCGCAGCAGTAATTCCTTATAAAACGAGCCCATTAATTGCAACATGCTGTTGTCAGTGGACAGTTCTGTGGACTTAAGTGACGAGAGATCATCAAACCCAGGGTTAATAAAATCAGAAGCAAAGGGAAAGCCTTCACAACCTCTAGCAGTCTCTCAGTAGCTGCAATACATTGCTGATTACACCAAAAAGCATTGCTGCCTCATCAGAGTTGTACCTGGAAAGATGTTGAATTTTTTTTTTTTTTCAATAAAACATGCTTACATTTGTTTTTCTTCCTGCTCCCTAAGTTGCTTTTGTTTTAAATCAATTTACTGTTTCCCCATAATACATTTACTTTTACATTCTGCGCAGTTTGAGCCAACCAGTTCCACCTTTCAGCTCTCCTATACCTACCTAAAGCTGTAATATTTGGGTTTGCAGATAAAACAGGCATACTTCTTTATAAGAATAAAATGGAAAGGAAATTGACTTTGAAAACTATTCTATAGCAAGTAGGCTTGCTCTAATTTAGAGTAAAAGATGACACAAAGTTCTCCTTTCCTGAAGGGAAAGGGCTTCAGAGTCTTTACAGTGCAATGCCCCTCTTAAAAAATTATTTAGCAGAGAACCTTACTGTCCATCAATTATTTCCACACGACTTATAAAGAAAATTAATTTCAGATCATCTGCTAGTACATGCAAGAATTATTTCTATAAAATGAAACTATACTCACAACTAGTCTGTCTTCTTCAATGTTGAGGGACAGTGGTCATTCAACCAGTATCAGAAACTATAAAAAAATTTTAATCTATATTGTTTCATCTCTTCCCACTACAGTTTTTGGTTACTGCTTTTTTTTCCAAAGTCAGAAACAACACTTGAGAAAATACGTTTCATCTTTCCAAAGGCAGAAATTGTAAAACAGGTTTCTTGGATAAAATTCACCTTCTTTATACAACCAGTGCACTTCTACCAAAGATCAGTCATGTTGATTGAGTACACATAAGGTCACTGGGAAACTTAGCAACAAAGGCTTTCCCAAAAATCCGCAGGCAGAAACTTCTCTGACTCTTAATCCATATACAGGTTACTTTGTCCAAGTAGCTTTTATCTCATGTCTTTCACACAGAAATAGGTAACTCAATATTCAATTTATGAATGTTGAACCAAGCTTATTTCATCACAGTCCTTAGTACGTAGAACAAGCTTATGAAAAACGTACAGGAAAAGTCTTGGCTATCCTCTCAGGATTTAATGTGTGCCTCTACTCTGCAAAGCCATGAATGACAGCATTGTGGCTCCACCATTCATCACCACTAGACTTCCCAAGGGCAATCTGTCCAGGCTATGAGGAACACTTCTTCCCAAAAACATTAACTCTGCCTCAACACAGATACAAACTGGTTTCTTTCCAGCCACCCTTGACAACTCACCTATACCATGAGCTCATCTGCCTGCTTCCAATATCTATACTACCCAGCCTGCCAGGGACTCGCACGCAATATCTGAGCATGAGGTACCAAACTGAGTAATGAAAGAGGTGGGACAGAAGCGGTTGCTCCTTCCAAAACACATCACAGCTATTGTACTAACAGGAAGCAGTGTTTTTATTTGTCTCTCATACTGGCTGAAGGGATCAGTAATGTGCAGATGCACTTTCTTAAATCTCTTGATGTTTCTACAGCAGAAAAGGGCTTTTAGGGCTGGAAAGATGAAAACAAATGCTACATATACACAGATAACAACCAGTGAGTTTAAAGTCACGTTACTCTGCAAACCACAATGAAATTAAAAACTGACACTGCAAATTTTCTCTTTCCTCTGTTAAAAAAGGTACTAATAATTAACTATGTGGCTCTCAATTGAGCCAGCTCAATTTCTCTCACTGCTGGCAGCGCTGTCCAAAAGCTCTGCAGATACACATGTAACTAATGATAGTCAAGAAATAACATGATCCCAGGCTCTCATAATTTGCAACCTGAATCCAAGAGAGCTGACAGCAGTATTATTTGCAGTCAGGACCATATAAGAGAGATGCTGTAGAAAAGGCAAAATTACTGTCGGCTGCATGAGCATGAGGGGTTCGCCCTCAAACTGCCAGTTAAAAACTGTGGGAATAAAGGGGAATTTGTGACAGCATGGGAAGAAACCTTGGAAGATTGCACTCAAGTGCCAAAGCACAGGCAGTGCCATGTAAGAGATCTGGGAAGAGATGATAAAGAAATCAAAGAGATGCCTTAAGAGGCACTGGAATTTCTTGTGGTTTGCCCTAATTCTTGCCCATTGATTCTTTGTTGCTCATGTAAAATTAAGGCTGATATCAAAGTCACTATTACTCTTGACAGTTAACTTTGGTAGGTGGATCTGGTTACCAAAGCTAGCATAAATCACAGGCAAATATGTGATTCAGTATGCAGCATACATACTCATCAAGAGACATTTTCAACTCCCTTGACTCCCGATGTGCTCACGGACTGGTGCAGGGAACTCCACTAAGCCCAGAACTATCCTTCTCAAATGTCACCAGGAATGCCAGAAGAAAAGCCGCACTCCTCCCAGAACAGACAGCAAAGCATCCTCATCCCTGCCTCAGTGAACTGTATTTGTCAATAAAAGACTGGCTCGATTCAAGGTACAATCGCATCTCGACTGGCTGTCACTGACAATGCTGCTCCAGACGGCCTCAAAGCCTGACAACCACTTTCTGAACAAAATGGAAATACAGGGACTAATATTTGCTAACATCATTAATTCATTTTTTTCTCCACTCCCCCTTCTTCCTTTATCCACAATGTCAAGTTGTATACCTTTAAACTGTTGTCAGCCATAAAACAGACATCGTGTCCCAGTTCAGAGGTTAACATATAATGACAGACACATTAAAACCCCCTGTCCAATGCCTCACTGATGATTTCAGCTCCATCTTCTCTTCAACGAGACAGTAACTCAAACTCACTTATAAGCTTTAACAACATTAAAGTCTAATCGTGATTGAAAAAAGGAGAAGGAGAAGGTAGTTTTATCATACTAAGCATTATGGAAACAGAAACCAATTAGAGACAAACATTTTCTTTGTGAGGGTTTTGGGTTCACCTTCTATTTTGGTCTTAAAAGTGTCCCATGACCATAGCATGATCCATTTCTCTTCTTTGGGAAGCAGGATGAAAATTATCATCTAAGAGGAAGATTGGTAGTTTCCTGTCAGGGGTTTGTTTGGTGGGCCAACCTCTTGCTATACCCCTGAAGACAGGACAGGGATTTGTTATTTTTCATCTTCGAGCCCAAGTGTTGTTCCAATCTACACAAAACAGGCTACGACAGATTTAACAAGATGGCACTTCCAAGGGCCCTTCCAATGACTCACTTCAAACTCATGTGGCAGAACTCATTATAGAGATGCAGGTGAACTTACCATTGGTGATTAGCTGGGACTGAACTGGACCAAATGGTACACAGCTATTTTGTAAGTAGGGGAAAGGACTCAATCGGACAGAAGGAAAGGTACAGATAAAGTATCTATAAAGATACTACAAAACAGCAGGAATAGCACAAGTTTCAGTAAAGCTTTAAAAAAACCCCACAAACCCAACAACCATAACTTAGAGTCAACAGAAGAGCTAGATCCTAGGCATGAGGTAAATGCAGGGCATCCCAGTTTTGGGGGAGAGGAGCATCTTTGCATCAAGAGCAAAATGAGAACTCTGTCTGGCTAGTTTTGCATGTCTAGACACCCAGCACACACAGCAGCGATAGCTGTTTGGCATGGCTGTGTAGCACAGAACATCTATCAATGCTCCAGTTCCCTCACATCTCACTGTGGCTTTTCTCCACACCCAAAACCTTTTAAGTAGCTTCACATAAATACATATTTAAGAAAAAGAGAAAGCCATTAGCAAGAAGGTTCATCTCCTCAAAATACTTATCTTCAAAGTTACATTGGCCAATGCCTTAAAACAGCCAAGACAAGTTCATTGTCACACATCTTTGAAACAGAAAAGTGAGACAACTTCGATGAGAGCTATGCATCAGGATCTCACAGCCGAACCACTGCAGTGCATGGAAGAAGTTATCTCAGGTGATGTTCAGAGGCTACTCACACAGCCCTGTGCAGAACCCAGCGCTGGGACCAGGGACACACCCTACCTTGCTCTGTACCAGTTTGCAGAAGGGTGCATACATGGCAGCAGAACAGTGAAATGCTCTGCTTGACAGGAACATGGCAGCCTTCAGCAGAAGAAGCAACCGAAATCTGCCTTGGCCTGGCAGGGTGCCTGCAGGGCTTC